TAAAGGATGTTCAATGAACATTGGCAATAATAATGTTAGACATTAGCATTTTGTTCATTATTATAAAAACATATTGTAGATTTATTTAATTGGTATTAAATCATATAGCTCAACTGCATGATATCCATTAGATAATTGAACAAATCAAGGCATTTTACTTGAAGCTTACAAAAATTAGGTTCATTTTTATTTACAACTGAAATGTTCAGTTATAAAATATTAAATGTACAATTTTTTTTCTAGTTCTGTATTTTACACTTATATTATAAATGTTCATTTGTATATAATGTAATGTTTAGACGTAAATGTTCATTTTTATTCCAGTAGATATTCATTTGGCAGGCGCGACATCAGCCAACGTTGGCTGAATGACCGCAACCTCAACCAAAAATTTGCGCTACCCTCCCTACTATTATCTAAAAAAATAACAAGATTAAGGTTGAATATTTTTTGAAATGTGTCCTTGGCCCCTTAGCTAGGCCCACGCCTAGGGCGTGGCATTAGCCGTTGCCCAGGCACAAGAATAAATGACCCAATATTATTATGTTTAGATTAGGGATGTTAGTGGGGCGGGTCAAGTCGGAGACCCGCCAAATCCCCGCCCTAGTGGGGCGGGGATGGGCCTCGGTTTGGAGGGTGGTGGGTCGGGGATTGGGATAAAAACCATACCCGCCATGGTGATGGGGCAGGGGTGGATTTTAAGTTGTACCCGCCCCGCTCGCCCCACTCACCTGTCCCATCCCCACCTCATACCTACTTCTATATATATTTTAAAGCAAAATTATATTATTTTACACTATTTTATAAAATAATTACGTGAAATAAAATATTAATTTAATTATAATACTTTGTATTACACTTATATTATAAACAAAAATGTATGTAATATTAAGATTTTTTTTTTTATTATTATAGGCCGTATTAATTATGTAGGATTGTGTATTTGAAAGGAGATTAAATTAGGTGGGTCTTGGGTGGGGATTAGGTTGGTTTTTGGTGGGGGTTAGGTGGATATGGATGTCCAAGTGGGGGTGAAGTGGAGATGGTTTTTGAGTTGTACCCGTCGGGGATGAATATTGGACCTGCCGTGGGGATGGGGATGGGAATGGGGATGGGGATGAAAATGTTAGGTGGGGATGGGGACGGGAAGATCAATATCCACTCTGCCCCATTGACATCCCTAGTTTAGATGTTTGCATTTGATGTGTTGGCTTTCTTTTGTTTGGTGCAGACTTTTGTTGACAATTTTTATTAGGTAGTGTGTGACCCAACGTTGCTCCGGGTATTATTTATTTTTTTTCTCTTCAATAACTTGAAAGACTTCTTGACTTCTTATTTGTTAAAAAAAAAAGTATATAGTATCGTAAGAACAATAAATTAATTTCGGAGTATATATTTATGTTGATATATAGATAGAACATGAATAATTTTTAATTAAGATTGGAATAATTTTTGTCTATATTTAAGGAGGTTTAAGGTTCAAATCTCTTTGCATGCGCCATGCATTTTGGTTAATCAATACTATTTACAAGGGTTCGTTTGACATCACTGTGTTTTTTTTTTCAAAATCATATGATATATATATATATATATATATATATATATATATATGTCATATAATGAATAAAAAATTAGTCAAACTTATTAAGATCATGATAGTTTTGAAAACTGACAACATAAAAGTGGAAAGACCTTTTTCTTGTTTTTTACTTTTGGTTTTTTGTTTTCAAAAAACTAAAAACTACAAAACAAAAAATGATGCCAAACAAGCTCCAAAGTAATCACCAGCATCATCCCAGAAGTACACGTGTCGCGTCCACAATAGAAAATTTCTCGCAAAAATCTTTTTATTTTATTTTTATTTTTTCCTTACAAAAATAATAAGAGAATTGTAAACAAAAAAAAATATAGCCTAAATAATAGAACAATAACAACGCTAAAATAAATAAATAAATAATTCGAGGGAAAATAAAATATTAAATGTATACATAATCTATAAACAAATACAAACTTATTGTAATATATAAATATTTTTTTTTCATGTGAACATCCGAGCATTGCTCGAGCAAAAAACTAGTTATTATGACATAAAACAATGATTGTGAATGATGATGTGATGTGATTCTAGTGCGAGAATGGGTACACGCAACGTGATACATTAACATTTTTAGGAAAGCTTTTTAATACTTCCTTCGTTTTTATAATATTGCACCACTTACCTTTTATGGAAATATCACAAATATTGCACCAGTTCTATTTTATGAAAAGAAATATTTGTGTTCACATTACAAATACCAAATATACCCTTACTTTTTCATACTTGATTTTTTTAGTTTATGTAAATCATCACATGAGCAATCTTGTATTTTTACCTTTCTCTCTCATCCTTTTTTCCACTACCAAAAATCATGTGCTAAACTCCTACGGTGCAATAAAAAAAACCGAGGAAGTATACAAAATCATAGATTCACTAGTAGGAAATTAAAAATTATATTTGTAATTAACAAAAATGGATTATTTGTAACCAACAACGAGGGTTATGACTGCTAAGGTTGCAAATACTCCAATAGTTCAATCATTTGTAACGGGCATTGTCTATAACGAACATTTTAATTTTCTTTTACAAATAGGTATGCATTTGTCACTAACAATTAACTTGCGTGTTACAAATAAGCCACGAACATTATCACTTGTTAGTTACAAATACTAATTTTTGATATTAAAAAAAAAAAGAAAAAAAAAGAAACACTAGCAAATGCTAGGTTTAGATGTCTCATTGTAACTTGATGATACTCTTATTATTAAAACTATAATTAGATCAATCTCGGGTTTTGGTCGAGTTCAGTTCAGGTGAATAACTAATGGGTTATGTTCGGGTGGAGTTAGCTCAGGTTGGGCCATGTTTGGGTTCTGGTTTGGGTCATGAATTCTAAGGGTCTCGAGTTGGTTTTAGGTCAGGTCATATCCGATTCAGATCACCAAATTCTCAGGTTCAAATGGGTCAAGTCATAATTGAATTCGGGTAAAATTTTCTAGTCGGGTCAGCTTTTGATAGCTCTACTATTAGGTATTCTCTCCGTGTTTTAATAAGTGTTACACTTAGGCCCTGTTCAATTCACCTTAAAAAAATAATATTAAGTAAAAATAATTTCAAGTCAGTAAAAATAAATTCAGTTCTGTAAAATTTATTTCAGTTCAGTAAAAATAATTTCAATTCAGTAAAAATAAGTTCAGTTCAGTAAAATTCAGTTTTCTTAAAGAAGAATTATAATACAAAATCAGTAAAAATAATTTCATTTCAGAAAAAATAATTTCAGTTCATTAAAATTAATTTAAGTTCAGTAAATATAATTTAACTACAACAAATATAATTTTTGTTTAAGTAAAAATAATTTCAGTTCAGCAAAAATAATTTCAGTTTAGCAAAAATAATTTCAGTTCAGTAAATTAAGTTAAGTTTAGTAAAAATCATTTAAGTTCAGGTAATATATTTTGTTTCAATAAAAATAATTTCAGTTCAGCAAAAATAAGGTGAAGTGAACGGGGCCTTACTAAATGCAACTGTGTTTTAATAAGTGTCACTCTTCTTTTTTTGAAAATAAACTACATTTTTAAATTATATCTCTCTTTACTCTTGTTCTCCACCCATACCCGTTAATACTTTTTATTATTATTATTATTATTATTATTATTATTATTATTATTATTATTATTATTTATTCCCTCTTACATTCATTAATTAATTTTCAAAAAAGTATTAGCTCACTATCTTTCTTTTACAATGTTTTAATACTCAAATTGCCCTACTTATCTTTTCTTTGAGGAAAAATTGTTAAAAATAATCTCAACTTTCGTCGATTCGCTCAAAATAATCCCAACTTTGGATTATTTTTAAATAATCCAAATTTTGGGGGTTATTCGCTCAAAATAGACTCATGTGACCGGTAATCTGTTAAAGAGATTTTTTTTTTTTTTGGTTTAAGGTACACATGCCATCTCATGATTAGCCAACACAAAAATAAAAAAAAATTAATAAAAACTTTCAAAAAAAAAAAAAAAAACCAAAAACCAAAAATTAGTAAACAACCCCATCCACCACCAACCAACTTTCCGGCAGCCACCTCCTCCCACCACCCAGGTACTTCGATCCCTCGCCCCTAACCGCTGCCTCGACCATAACCCCCCGTTTCGACTCTGGTGCTACCACTCCCCCAACCCATAAACCACCGGGACCCCACTCCACTGCACAAACCCTCTAATCGGCCCTCTCTGACCCTCAGATGCCTAATTGTTAGGGTTTCGAGGGTAGGTGATGGCCGTTTGGAAGGTTTTGTGATGGGATTGGGCGTTTTTAAGGGTTCGGGTTGTGATAAGGGTAGTTTTGGGGGTCGAATTTGGGCGATTTAGGGGGTACAGGAGGGCAGATCCGACGCCAGCATAGTGGAGGAAGGGGTTGGCCGCCGGGGCGGGGGGTTTTTGGGCGGCGACGGAGGAGGGGAATTCCGGGAAGGTCATGGCTGGTGGTGGGGATGGTGGTTTTGGGTGGGGCTAGATTTTTGTTAAATTATTTAAGTTTTTTTTGAAGTTTTTTTATTTTATTTTTCAACCATTCATGTGGTGACACGTGTCACCGTAACTTGTTATAACAGGTTAGTGACTGGTAGGGCCCATTTTAAGCGAATGACCCCCAAAGTTTGGATTATTTAAAAATAATCCAAAGTTGAGATTATTTTGAACGAACCGTTGAAAGTTGGGATTATTTTTATCAATTTTTCCTTTATTTTATTTAAGTCATTAAATTTTCTACAATTATGTACCGATCAAAGTGTAACACTTATTAAAATACAGAGGAATTAGTAAATGGTTTAAATAGGCAAACTTCAAGTCTTCAGTTTTGTTCTATGCTTGTTTTACTTTGAGCTACCTAGCATCCTAGATACTGAGGATTAAAGTACTACTATTGTGTTTTCATTTGCATAATTTTTTTTTAATGTTTCAAGTTTTTTTTTTTTTCATTTTCTCCCTTAGCTTTAGTTTTCAGTATTCTAGTGCCTGAAATTAGTTTCCAGAGTTCTTTATTACCTATGGCTCCATTCATCCACTCTCACACTTGCAATTCCGTCACCGAAGAGTGGTCTCATGAGTCATGATGTAGACATAGACATGGATGACCAAACGAAGAGTTCCTCCGATACATTGCAAATTAAAGAACATTGATCCTCGGCTCAAAGCATTGATGGTTCAATCCAATCTGTCTTTGAACCCTTTGAGGATGTTCTTTACAGTGTATCTGAGGAACTCGTCATTTGGTCATCCTCGACCACTATTGAGTCCTCTGGGGATCGGCTGAACTTGTACATATCGTCTCCTATCATTAAAGCCGCGCCAACTGCAGCTGCTGCTCTACAATCAAATGACAATCCAGTAGTCAGCACATTAAACTAACTTTACCAACCTTATCAAATGATAATTAGTACCATTTATAGAAGTAACGTAATACCTTAGATAATCATATTGCTGCTGCTGAGCAAATAAGATTAATCCTATGCTCATTGAGTAAGGAATTTAATCTAAAATATGAACTCAGTAATGGCTGTCAAAAGTTTAACTAATTTTAAAAGCTAAAAATATAAAAAGGATGGAGTCCCTCTCTCCCTTTTTTATTTTTATTTATTTATTTATTTATTTTTTTAACAAGAGAGTCACTCTGTTTTTTAAAGTGTTACTGACATATAGGCCCTGTTTGGTAAGGTTTTCATGGAAAATGAATTTTCCATTTTTTCCTATTTTCCTTTGTTTGTTTGTTAAGGGTGGAAAACAATTTTTCGAATGGGTAGAAAATTCCATCCTTAGGCCCCGTTTGGTTTAATGTAAAACATTTTCAGTGGAAAATTAGTTTTCATGGAAAACATATTTTCAAGGAAAAACACAATTGCAAATTATTTTTCCTTTGTTTGATTGCATACAAGAAAAGTCCAAGAAAAATATAAAAAAAATAAGAGTGGAAATGTAAGGATGAATGAGAGGGAAGTAAAAAAAGAGGTAAGGAGGAGAGAGGAAAATGTGGCTTCCCTTGTTTTTGGAAGGAAAATGTTTTTTATCATTAAGGATGAAATTTTCCACCCTTGAAAAATTGTTTTCCACTCCTTAACAAACCAAACAAAGGAAAATGGGAAAAAAAATGGAAAATTCATTTTCCATGAAAACATTTTACATCAAACCAAACAGGGCCTTAATGATGGAAAACATTTTCCTTCTCAAAACAAGGAAAGCCACATTTTCCTCTCTCCTCCTTACCTCCTTTTTTTACTTCCCTCTCATTCATCTTAAATTTCCACTCTTATTTTTTAATTTTTCTTGGACTTTTCTTGTATGCAACCAAACAAAGGAAAATTAATTAGCAATTATGTTTTTCCTTGAAAATATGTTTTTCATGAAAACTAATTTTCCATTGAAAATGTTTTGCATTAAACCAAACGGGGCCATAGTTCTAAATAAATAAATTAATTCTTGTCAAAAAAAAAAATTTAATATAAAATGATGTAAGTGGGATAATTGAAGCATTAAAATATTACTTCTTTTATTTTTATTTACTTGCAATACACTACTTTAACACATTTTAAGGAAGATATTAATTAGGTAATTGAACAAATTAAATACGAAGTAAAAATTTTACCAGGAATAATTGCCTAATTGGAGTCTTGTATCAAACACCACATAGACTTCCATTAGTTTTTGCCAAACTTTATATACTTTCTCGGTCTTTTAATATTGCACCATTTGTCTTTTAAGTAAGTTTCACAAATATTGCACAAATTCTATTTTAGGACAAAAAATATATTTGTTCACATTGAAAAAAATACTCATCATATCCCTTACTTTTTCACACTTATTATTTAGTTTATGTTTATATTAAATGGATACTTTTGTCATTTAACCTTTGTCTCTCTTCCTTTTTCACACCACTAAAATTATTGTGCCCAACTTATATGGTGCGATAATAAGAAAATGGAGAAAGTATATTGTTGAGAAAGTAGGTTACCCAATCAAAATTTGAGGAATTAGAATGGGATTGGTTGGGATCGGATCCTAAAAATTAACATAAAGATGGGATTGTTAAACGATTCCTAAAATTTTGCAATTACATTTGAACTGTTGGGTATCGATTGGTTCTGGCTACCCACTTATATATACAATTAATGAAAGTTATACAAAATATAATATTATTTCGGCGTGTTATCGTTTTTTAGCTTTTTAATGAAACATTTTCCTTTTTCGATTGTGTTTAAATAAATGAAACTCCTTTTTTTTTTTTTAATTTTTCTATTTATTTTTTTTGAATAATAATCTACTAACTAGTGGTCCCTGGCCACAAAACCCCTTACTCTCTTCTCTCTACTCAAACTTATACTCCACTACCTATTATTTTAATAAAGTCAACTAACCTTCCTGTAAATGAGGATGCCCCATTTTCTCATGGTGAAAAACAAATTTTGTTTCTCACATGGTATTTTTCGTAAATAACTCGTCAACTTTATTCAATTGTGGAGCCCATAATAATGAAAAAGTTGTTGATTTATTCACGAAAATGCCATTATAAGAAACAAATTTGTTTCTCAACAAATAGGGAATTTCCCCCTGTAAATTAAAGTCAAAACGTGTTATTTATTTAAACACAAAAAGAGTAAAAAAAACTTTATACGGATTAAGCTATTTTTATTTTTGTTAGATTTTTATAATATTTTTTTATTAACAACATATATTTAAGAGTTTTTGTTTTTAATTTTTATAAATTCATTTATTATAATATATGTCGAGTAATCCATATCCAATCGGTTCTAGTTTTAAAAACTAGAGAATGGTATTGGAATTGGTTGCAACTACCGGTTCCTTAATTTATTATCCAGAATTGGAACAGCCGTTTCCAATTCTAGCACATGGATTTTTTACTCACAGCAAATATTAAGCACTATTTGAAATTAACTTTAGCTTTTCTTTGTCAACAAGTTTTGATAAACAAATACTTCGTATGTACTTACAATCAATATACAATCAAAATGCCTCTTGTTAAATTAAAATTGAAAATTTGAAAAAATTAATCCTACCTTTTACGTGACATGTTTCAAATGAATAAACATTTACATAATCTGGGTCTCTGCGACAAGCCAACATTTCGCCCCTATTTGTTCAAACCTTCCATATCATAGGTATCGCATATCAGTCTATTTGTTCTCATACGAGATCTAGGCACCCAACTTTGTAAAACTATAGCAAATCTAAGAGTAGACATAATATGATTATGCAATTTCGAACCCAATCGAAAGCTAATCAAATTTGATAATAATTTCCGCGGATAGTAAAAATGTATATAATATAGGAAAATTTGTGAAGAACAATACAACCTTTTTTATTAGAAACTTTGTACCTTTTATTTTTTTTATTTTATATTTTATATTTTTTTTTTGTGGCTAAAACACACTTGATTTTACTCAGTTTGGGTATAGGGAGTTCTTGAGGTTGGTGGGTGAGGTGGTTTTAAGTAAGATATATTCTGGCCTGGGTTTATGAGCACACACTGCAAACACTACTACAACTATTTTCTAATCCACCTCCAAAATAATTAAAAGGAACAAGAAATAAAGAATTAAACAGGCTAAAATATTACCTGGACTACGTGAGTATTTCACAACGCCCACATCGAAACAAAGAATTAGATGATTGCTATTGCTTGGAATGTTGTCTTAACTTGCAGGTGATAAAAGGGGCTCTCCTTTCTTTGAACACATTAACGTTATAAAGTAAAATATAGTAAGATGAGCTTGTAAAATGAGTACATCATGGGGTGGATGCATTAACCTTACAGGTAAAATGAGTAATGGATTTGGGTTTAGTATGGTAAAGATATTTGGTGTGATGGTGTATGAAACAATGTCATTGCTTGTTGATGTACCTGTGCATCCATATGTAGTTTGCATTTCGGAATGAATTGAATATGGTTGTTATATTATTATATATCTTGTCCTTTCACATAAAAGCCTTTTGGGCTTGAAATTAAAGGTGAATGAGATTTAAACCCATAGTAGTATAGTACATTTACTATCTTTATTTTTAATTCGTTGGATAATTTTTTTTAATCTAGCTTAAACTAATGATTATACTTATTTTAATTAATGTGTTATGCATTGTGTACATATAATAATAATAATAATAATAATAATAATAATAATAATAATAATAATAATAATAATAATAATACATTCAGTCCAAATTACTCGTAACTTTGGAATATTTTATATATCACAAATATTACCCCAAAATTACGATTAATTTGAACCGGAGGTAATAATAATAATAATAATAATAATAATAATAATAATAATAGGAAAAAATTATTTAAAATTCTGTGTTGCTTTGAAAATTGTTCTTGGAGAATTGTTTTTCCAAGAATTATTTTTGTTTGTAACGAAAGGAGCCAAATTTTCCGTCCTTTGGACTGTTGCGAATTCGTGAAACACATTTCTTAATGGCGCCAAACATGATTGACTGATATATTCTCAAATGCTGCCAAATGTGATTGCTGGATGATTGACATAATTTTAAATGCTTTCCTAATGTACAATTTAACCCCTTGATAGTCCGTGATATACATGCCCTTAATAATGGACCGCCAAATATGATTTAGATTTTAACTGGTCCTAATTAGAGGTGTCAATTCGGATAATCGGATGGAGTTTGGATCGGGTCTATTTGGGTCGGGTCTGTTCGGGTCGGATATGTTCGGATCAAAATTATCCTTTTAACTCGGATCGGGTCGGATCGGGTTAAATTCGGGTCGGGTCAAATTCGGGTCATGGTCTATCGAGTCCGGGTCGGATACGGGTCGGGTCAACTTCAGATCAATTCACTTTCGGTTTGGATATATTTGGATCGGGTTTAAAACAGGTTTAGCCGGGTAACTTCGGGTCGGATGAATTTGGGCCGGGTTGATTTCGGTTCGGATGTTTTCGGTTCAGTCAAGTTCGGTTCGGTCAATTCCGGTTCAATTCCTTTTTGTGTTTGGCTGAATTTTTTTTGGAAGTGCAAGGCTTTTGTTATTTTTGAGGAAGCCGTACCCATAACATATTATTGGAGTCGAAACATTGCAATGATATTATATGCAGCGTATTTTGTATATGAAAATGAAACTACTGAAAAATACCTAAGTTTGAATCATTGGATTATGTATATGTAATATATTTAATTATTATAATGAAAATGTAAGCGCTTGATATATCCTTTAAAACTTTATTTATTTTGCTTTCATAATTGTTTCTTATAGGTTGCATCAGACTAGTAGTAATGTGATTTATATTGATATAATTGGTTGTAGGTGTTAGAGAAAAGAATTATTAGTTCATAAAATATAACAGAATGGGAGGAAATTCATTAAAAATGACAATAGGCTTTAGGCAGCATTTAACTAGAGCTTTATAAGCAAATCAATTAACTCCCGCTTAATGTTTAGGTTTATTAGATCTTGTGGCATTTATTAAAGCTTAGAAAGTAAATTAATATAATTGATATGTACATGAAGTAAACTTAAGACTCCAGATTATTTCTTAGTAGTGAAAAAGTTAACTTATTAATAATAAGTAAATATATAGTATAAGAACTTGAATAAAAAAGTAATAATTAATTATGATCGGGTTAAATTTGGATCGGGTAAAAATCAAATCGAGTTAAAATCGGATCGGGTTAATATCAGGTCGGGTCAAAACAGATCAGATTAGATCGGTTATTTTTCGGGTCAATTTCGGATCGGGTTGAGCTCGGATCGGGTCAAATCAGTTCGGTTTGAGTTCAGGTCGGGTCAAATCGGATTCGGGTTGAGTTCAGGTCGGATCAAATCGGTGCCGGATTAAGTTTAGATCGGGTCAAGTTCGGATTCGGGTTGAGTTCAGTTCGGTTACAGATCGGGTTTGGGTCTTGAATTTCTCGGATCAAATCGGATCGGTTACAGTTCGAAACGGATAATTTTTTTCGGGTCGGTTCGCTTTTGACACCTCTAGTCCTAATGTGATTGCTGGATGATTGACATAATTTTAAATGCTTTCATATAATGTATAATTTAACCCCTTGATAGTCCATGATATACATGCCCTTAATAATGGACCGCCAAATGTGATTTAGATTTTAACTGGTCCTGCCTTTCTGAAACACATGCCGTGAAAAATCAAATAAAAATATCATTTATTAATGCTAGCTAAACGAAAATGGGTTAGTCTAGCTGTAATTTTCAAATAACTAATGTAAGTTATGCTTCCTCCTCCATTTTTTTTGATGTATCTATTTATTTTAATTAATAAAGTAGTTATTAACCTGGACAATATTCCGATCACTATAAATTTGTAAGTTTAATCAAAATTAAAGTTAGAAGATTAGTATTTGACAATATTTATAAGTGAAAAAAATATAATAATAAGTTTAAGATTAAGTTCTTATTTATTTTAGGAAAAATTGTCCAAAATAATCTCACCCTTTGGAGCGTCTGATAAAAATAATTCCAAATATCATCTATAGGCTAGATTATTAGATGATATCCAAATATCAATAAGTTAGATCAAATGATATCCTCTATAGCTGGATGTGATATCATGTATATCAGCAAATAAAAAAAATAAAAAACAAAAAAAAAATTACAAATTCAGCCAACGAAATGAACATGTCAGCAAACTGATGTCTAATATCAACCAACATTAGGAACATATCATACATTAATAAAAATATATTAGCCAATCAACAAAAGATACATATCGACCATCCGAAGGAACATATCAACCATTAATAAAAATATCATCCAATTAATGTATGATAGTATCCAACAAAAGAAACATATCATACATTAAAAAAGCATATCAGCCCGCAAAAGGAACATATCAGCTAACAAAAGAAACAAATCAGCTAACACAAGAGAAACTATACAATAATCACTCTAAATTCAAATTAACTTTTCTTAGCGAGAGATGACAGAGAGTGAGGTAGAGAGAGAAAGTGAGATAGAAAAACAAAGGGTGTTAGTCCCGCCTGACCGGCCGCCTGACAACCAGCAGAAGGAATCGTCCGCCAGACAAACCCCTCCCCCCGCCTCCAAATACTACCTTCAATTTGTCACCCAACCTAACCCTATTACCATTTGTAGGGAATATTTCAAGCATCCCACACTTGAGCCCCACTGTGATCATACACTTAAGCATGGTTTCGTCCAAAGGGAAGGAAGCTAGAGTAAAAGAGTCGCCAATAAGTTTTAGAAACTTGTAAACCATTCATAGGGTGAAGGTTACACCCCTTAACGATCCATAAGATCGTTAATTCCAATAGGTCTGGAACCATGACTAGAAGTTCAGGGATGAAGGTACAAATCCAACGTAAAAGAGATTGAAATTGCCCTAATAATAGGCCTCTACTTTATTCTTCTCGTATTCATGTGCGCTTTCTACTAACATACAATCAATAAATTAACCCTAAACATGTTTAGTCTATGTTGGTTGAATATTAATGCACAAGCAAACCTATTATTGGTGATCACTTGAATTATAATCATATTAGCATAAACAAGATCATTAATGATCTTATTAAGCATGATTACAAGTACAAATTCCCTTTAAACATGCACAAAAGGTGTGATCAAGCAATAACAATGGCAATATATATTAAGCAACATAATAACAATATTCATCATCATATTTTCAATAAAGCATAATAATATTAGCAAGATCATAGGCATGATACTAATAAGATTAATAGAAAACCCTAGCATGTCACTAAACAATAAAAATCAGAGCTTTATTCCTAACATGATACTAACATGACATTAGAAAAGAAATAGGAAGCATCATAAACATACATAATATTAGAAATATTAGTTAGCCCTAAACATGATACTAGGAAGCAACAAAACATACTAACATGATACTAGGAACCAACAAAATAATCTAAGCATGATTTCTATAATAAAGCAATTAAATTACTTACTTTGATGCCTCATATCTCTTTCTAATAACAATATACACGTATTAGTAACTTCAAGAAAAATAATTTATCAAATAATTAATTTAAATAATTGAAATAAAGATTTGGGACCAAACCCTTTGAAATTAAACCTTTCATGTCTAGGGCGAAGGAAACTTCGAACTTGGCTAGGTGTGTCTAGAACTAATGAATGTGGAATTTTGTAAGAGGGAAGGTTTAGAAAAAGAATAGAAAGAAAGAAAGCTTCTAGCTTTTAGAGAGAGAGAATTTGATGGTTGTGAATGAATAAAAAAACGGGAAGATACGACCCCTATTTATTGAAAAAATAGCCCGGAATCAACTCAAGTCATATTCAGAATAAAATACCTCCTGTCATTGAACGCCAGACGACACGAGCAGCGCCAGGCAACAGCCTTGTCGTCTCCCGCTAAGTCAAAGTTATAACGTGCTTTGTACGCGGAATCATCTTCTTAATACGATTAAGCAGCTAATTCCGCGTTTATTAGATTAAAATCATGTTTGTGACAAATCACATATTTTATTCAAAATAAAACTCTTTAAAATATAATTATTAATCCTAATCTCATTAGAATTTAAAAGAAACCTCTAGATTATTCTAGAAGATTAAAATCAATCCTAATAATTAACTTTAGGAATAATAATTAATAGGTCCTCCTCTAGATCATTGGGCCACATATAAAATCATTTTAGGCCAAATTTAATTTAATCCATAACTTCCTCATTATTCATCGGAATTGGGCTTATTATATATCATTGGAAAACTCTTTTTGATCCTAATCCAACTACACAATTATTGGACTGTAATCATAGACCAAACTAAATTGGACTGGCTATTTTTATAAATAGAGTGTAAGAAGAAATATTTTCAAAAACAGAAAGAGATATATTTTAATAAAAACATCCACATCACTAGACTTTTCACACTTTCACTTCGTTCAATAATCAAATGACATAAAAGCTATTCATCACTGGGTTTGGTTTTGGGGAGACGCATTTGGGTGTCTACACCATCCCAGCCCATATCCTCTCCCAATTCCCTGTCTCCCCCCCTTCAGATGCTGATCTGTCAACCCAGCTGGTCCTTCCTTTATAGGGGATTGACCTAAACCCAATCCTATT